ACGTTTTCAGGCCGGCGCCCCGAGGACGACGGGAACGGAGGGGGTCGAAGGCAACGGTGAGGGCGCAGAGCGGCAGCACGGCCAAGGGCGGATGGGGCGGCACAGAGGCCCGATCAGCTCCCGGGAATGGAGGTGCCCCGTAGGACAGCGACCCCACCGCGTGGCAGGAGGGATGGAGATGTTGGTGCTGCGTGCTTGAGGACATTATCTGGACAGAGTTTCCACTCCGTATCCTCTCTCTGATGTTTGGCTGCGGGACTACAAGGAAATGCCCTTGCTTGTTGGCTGGTGGGAGCAGATACCTGGGAACCTGGGCAAGAGTCAGTCTCACTCTTGTCTATACAAGGAGGATAACAGCATCTCTCTACCTTGCTTGATAAATAACAGATACTCTTGAAGGAGGCCCTAAGACCACCTTGCAGAGCCAAGTGGGCTCCCTAAAAAGCCTCCAGGCGAATAGGAAGCGCGTTATCCACTCGTCTCTGATAGCTCCTCCGAGCGCTTGCTACGGTCCCTCTTTATTCTCCTTCCAGCCGCCTCCGCCTCCTTCCCTCCACCCCTTTTCCAGGCGTTCAGACAAATCTCTCTGGCTCTACAATGCTCCGCTAATGAAATTAGCATCTTTGTTCTTCACGGAAGGGGGAAAAAAAAAAATCTGTCTAGGAACGGCAGGCAGCACTAACAAATGCTGTATGCTCCTAATCACGAGAATCTGCCTTGCTGTGTAAGAGCCACCTACGCAACATGAGCCTTCGACAAAAGGCACTTATTTCCCTCCCCGGGAAAGAGAAACATCATCCTCTCCTAATCCCCACTGGAGCACCATGTCCCACATGCGCCCCACAAAATAACAGCCGCTCTGGATGGGCAGGGGAGGTTGAATGAAACCGCCTGCCCAGGAGTTATCAAAAAGAAATCGAGGGGACGGGGACAAAAAACGAGGGAGGAAAAAGATTTAGGGGAGAGGGGAATTAGAACAACGCCCACCCTGCTTTCTCACCGTATTTCTTATTGAACAGGTCCTGGACTTGTTCCCTTAGTGTGTTAGCAATGTCTATTCTGGAAAGCCTGGCATCATAATTTTCTGTAAAATAAAGAAACAATTATGGACTTCTGCTGTTAAATTAAAAGGCACTCTGTGACTTTTAAGTAATACAATTTTCTAATTATAGGAAAGTCCTTATCTTGCAATTAGCTAATCTCTGGAGTAGGCCGTTCAAAGTCCTTAAAAATAATCTAAACAGAAATATGTCCCCCTCCCCCCCATTTGCTACGAATAAAAGCTGCACGAAATCGAAGATTCAATTGCGATAATTACTGGCATTAAAACAAAATGCAATCAAAGGCGTATCCAAAGATCCTTTGCTCTCCACCAACCCTCGCGATGGCTGCTTGGTGCCCATGGGACCACGGATCGCCCCGGTGCCAGCTAGGGAAAGGGAAAAGTTGCTAGGAAAAGGGGTGCTCGAGCTCTGCGGTGCTCTTCTTTCCCATGCTCCTTCCCCAACCATGTGCTCTAAATCCTCAGTTCTTCCTCCTTTACGTTTTCAAAGAAGCAACGGCTTCAAAAGCAAAGCCACGGTGGGGGAAGGCGAGCGGCGTGCTTTGCGCGACAGGTCCTCAGGAAAACCGGGCGCAAGGTCTGTGCTGGGCTGAGGACGAGCCCTAGATAGGATTTATACAAACATCATCTGGGTGGAGAAGTCACAAAAAGGCAAACTGCGAGGCTTAGAAGACTTAATTATGTGTCTCGCAAGGTCAGGTGGCAAGATAACCAAAGCCGTTTAACCAGGGCACCATGCAGAGCACTTTTCCAGTCGCTGCTCTAGACCTATGAGACTGCCCGCCCCAGCAGCACCTGGCTCCATCTTGACTTTTGGCTATCTGGTCTCTCCTATCCTCTCACCCTCTCTCTTCTTTTCTCCTTCCCATCCTTGCCTTGAGTTTCTCCTCTATCAACCTGCCAAGCCCCAACATCTCATGACTGCTCCTTTTCCGCCTTTCTGTTTCTTTATGCAACACTGCCCTGGCCTGCACCCAAATGGCACAGGCTTTGGGTGGAGAACGTGGCAAGCGAGACAATGAGTTTGGGGCCGAAGGCAGCAGGACAGCCTGGGGGCACATGTGCCGGCCTCTGCTCTGCAGCCAGCTCTGTCCAGTCCCGGAAAAGTCACACAGTGTTTCAAGGCCTGACTGTCCCCACCAGGGAAAAGGGGATGATAGAGGGTCCTACCCTCCTTGGGGTGCTGGGAAAAGATGACTGCAACTGCTTCACTGGTGTCTGCAATGGGCACAGATACTGGCTGCGATCTGGGTGTACGTCTGTGCACCCGTAGTGGGACTAGCTCTTGTTCTGCAAATACCACTGCTTGGTCACTCATTAAAAACCAAACGATGACCTATCAAGCCTTCCAGTCACTTTTTTCCCCCCACCAGAGAAACAAACTTCCTATGTATGGTTTATTTTTTCTCTTTGTTCAACAAGAGCTCCATGGGCTAACTCTGACCAAGCGTCCTCTGCAGCCAGTCCATGGTGGCTCTGCAGCGGCCGGCATACGGGACCGCGATCTGCCGGCTCACAGACCCTGTCCGTGCCTCACCTTGAAAGCCCTGTCTCTTCACAGCGTCATCCACGAGCGAGTCGCTGGCGTCCCTCTCGCCGGCTGCCGAGACAGGGGACATAACAGCAATTAGGGTTTGCTGCACAACTGAAGCAAGAAAGTGATTTCCAGAGGCCCCGAATACCAGGGCTGTCTTCACACAGGCCAAAAATGACGTGGCGAGGGAAGGAATGACGGGCTGTAGCAAACGCTTCCATTCCCGTTGCAGCTCGTTATTAATGGCCTGGCTGCTGCACATTTCGGGACCCTACCTTTGGCTCCTGGGCTGTCAGACGCAGTCTCCTTAATTCCCTCAGCCAGAAGCTCTGGTCTGGAAAACAGCGAAAAGCAGACAAAGCGCGAGTGAGGTGCCATTCCACTAAACCATCAACATTTTACTACTCCATCTATCACCTAGGATAACACTCCTACAGCCACAAACCCACTAAACATATCTGGCTAATGCAATTTTAAAGCTGCTGCAATACAGCAAGGGAACTTTGGAAATAATTTTCATGCTGACAGACTCTTTAGGGAGCCAACATAACACTCTACAGGATAAGATTAAGCTCACAACGGCTGAGCGTCTTAAATCATCTGCTAGGAATGGTTATGAGACGTAGCGTCCCCTGCCAGGGAGCAGGGTTCTCCTGGCCAGCGCTGCCCAGAGCGGCCGAGGGCGACCAGCGGCGCCCGCCAGTCCGTGCCTGGCCGAGGAGCAGCCACGCGTGCCGGGAGAGAGCAAGCACCCACACCGACCAGCACTGCTTTTCAACGTACTTTGGGTACAGAAAATGTCTCTTGGGCATCTAATGACAAAAACACATAGAGATCTGATACCAGGACTGGCTACAAGCCCTTCAAACCCGTGTTAGAAGCTATGCTGCAAAGAAAAAGGCCTGGGAATGGGAGAGGATGGGGAGAAATCCCAAACCCGCTGCTGGTCTTGCACGTGAATTACCGGTCTGATGCCACAAAATCTCCATGCTCCCAACTTCTATTTTCTATTTCAGCTGCCAGCCAGAGTTGATTACATTGCCTCTCTCTGTAAGGGAGAAGTTTTTTCCGACATTGCTGCTGGCCAGAACTGAATCTACATTTGTGAGCCAGAGGACACAGAGCCTGGAATTACTCAGAGCAACAGCAGAAAGCATCTGAGACATAAAAGCCAACTCACACCTGAAGTCTGCAAGGCCAGAGAACTTGTTTCTTCTCACCTAATCAAGCTTCAGTGCCTCAGTGGCTTTAAGTTAAACCCATGAAGAAGAGCAGATCGGACCGCTCAAGCAGAACAGGGTTGGACTGAGGTAGCATTTGGGTGAGAAACCTCCACAAAATATCTAAAGGCATTTTGAAATCCAGGTTGCTTGTGCTGGATACTTTTCCTCTGCCTGGGCAACAGCAGGGAACAGCACAGAGGCTGCACTCAACTCTTCCCTCCGCACAACAATGCTTTATTGAGATATCAAAGATGTAAGCACCAGCTGAGACCTGAATGCTAAAGGTCTGTACCCTATTACCCATCCTTTGGTATTGCCTTCTGTTAAGGCTGTGCTTTTGCAAAGGCAAGTTGAAAAATAAAAAGATGAGGAGACAGACTGACAACAATGCTGCTCCCTGTTGGGAACAGCTCCAACAAGGTAATGTCATTTGATCGCTTTTAATCAAGCAAATTCATTGAAGGTGACCAACCGATGGATGTTTTCCATGACATTTACTGAACAGCTGTTGCAGCCCCAGACGCAAAAGCGCCAAACAATAACGTCCTCACCAGAGGTTTTGGCTAATCGACCTGCCTTACCTTTTAATGACAAACTGGATGTTGTTGCTAGCTTGCAGGATCTTCTTCAGCTTTGCAATTCCAAAGCAGTTTGGACGCCGCAGTAAGATGCCTTCTGGCAAGCCCACGACAAACAGGTCCTCGGGGTACATCAGGAACTTGGAGTAGGGAACTTTGACCGGCTCTGAAATTCCTATGGCTTTCGCTGAGTGAGGACCAAATCTCATTAGTTGGTTAAACCTCCAAGTGGAGTGAAAGGAAAACAGTCATGGTACATTGTGGCTGAGTTTCATTACTCTATTCGCGGATGCAGAGTGCCCTAAGGATGCGAGGAAAAATCTATGCAGCAATCGGGAGCTGTCTTTTGAATTTGCTGGTTTAATGTAACCTGCCTCTCAGCGACATTCTTGTCAGTAGAGCTTTCTCAAAACGCTGCAAGTGTCTCTTCACAAGAAAGAGGGGGGCCCCATGTCTAAACCTTCATCTACATCCCTCTGCAGCTGCCAGACTTTGGCACGGTGGGCAAAAGACGAGGGAAATCAGCTGCGCCGCCACGGCACCGCAGCACCTGAGCACTGCTCGGTCGTTTGCCCTACCTGCCACGGGAACTTTCTGATGAGAACGCGCATCTCTTAGAGACTGGCCTGAAAACATGCAAACTCATTACATGTAAGGCTAGACTTTCAACTGTACTGCTTGGCATCAACAGCTCCCAGTCCCCAACCCCTGAGAACACACCTGAGCTTCCCCATTGGCCACTCAACAGGGCTTCTGCTTGGTCTTCTAAACTTTGTCAACAGGCAAATGGGCAGCCACCATCAAGTAACAATTTTTTGTCAAAGATGAAAAAACAGGATCAAAACTCATGCTGAACTTGGACAAAGACACTCAGTCTATTTCTAAACTGGGAACAAGCGAGCACCGGGTAGCAGCCCATCGCTCAGCCCCCAGCTTTTAGCTTGTATCACCGGCACGCAGGTCTGCTCAGGGAGCATCCCAAGGACAGCAAGACCAAGCAGCTTCAACTCATCTTTCCAACAGGCTCCACTTATTCTGAAGATTCCTTCTGATCTGAAGCTACAGTTTTCAAAATCAAATGAAATGCTTCTAAGTTTAGGAGAAAAACCCTCTCCTCTTGGACAAATCACCTCCATATCCAATCCACTTACAAGTCCTCAAAGGAATGCAGGGCTTAACATCTGCAGAAAAGGTTTTCTCATCCAACACAACCGAAGCCCTCGCTGCCACGAAGAGCAATTTTCCTTTTAAAGAAAAGCCCAGAGCAGCTCAAGCAGCCCGAGGGCCGCAGCTCTCAGCTCTGCCTCTGGAGTTTCTCGTGTCGTCAGCCCTGGGGACACACGAACAGAGCCTCATCCTGGCTCCCGACAGGCTGAGAAAACTTTCTGCCAGCTCTGAAAAAGCATGTGTAACTTCCCTTGCATTTTTTATCGGCTATGCAAGCTTTTTAAAAAGGGCAGGGACGTTACATATACATATTTTTAACTGCACCCCCTCAACACCCTCCTGAACTCAATTAAGGGATGAGGCAAATCCTTAGGCAATAAAAGCAGGTAACACCCTGAGGGCTGTTACGCAGCCCAACACTATACACTCCCCTCCCGCGTCATGACACCAGCCGGGGCCGCTGAACAGAAAAATCCTCTCTGATGATATTTCAGACAACTGGAGGGGAAACCGCTTCAGCCCTTTCCCTCCGCAGGAGAAGGACTGAAGGTCACCGAGGCAGTTCCTGGGCAGTAGCCAGCTAAAAGGCATCGAGGAAGCCAAGAGGAAGAGTTGCAATAACAAGGCCCAGTGAGACTTCAGATGCATTTGTAAGCCCGGCAGACAGCAAATGAACAAATTAGATTGCACCTTTAGTCAGCAACTGGTTTGGAAATAGTAGGTGACAGTTCTCAGCAATTAGAAGCTCCCTAAGGCAGAGACCAGCACTCAGCTTTAAGAGCATTTGTTAATGACAATCTTACCATATCTGCTGTTGAACAAAATCTCAACTTGTTTCCTCAAATGACTTAAGACATCCCCTACACCATCTGCAAAAAAGAGAGAAATACACTGAGAAATCAGCAGCCTCCGAGGCGAGAAGCACACAGCAAAGACGAGGATTGCCTTGGCCAAGCCGGTGACGTATCCTCTCGGTGCCTCTGAAATCAGTGCTGGCCCTTGGGCAGCTGCCTCCAAACCCATCACCCCAGCCCGCGACAACGCGCAGAAACACTGGCCATGCCCCACGCTTGATAAAGGAGCGGAAAAAAATCAGAAGGCTTTTGCAGGTAGCAAAGCTTGCAAGCCCTCCCAGGCCAGGCAGCCCTTTCCAACCTTCCCCCATCTGCTGCCACCATCCGAGTCCCTGCAAGGCACCGTGAGACCGGCACGATGCTAAGGTATAGGTGCCATCTGCAGTGCTGCACTGGGGCAAAGCAGAAAGCCTGCGGTGCTAACAGGCACGTGGAAGGGCAAAATAGATTTCTTAATGAAAAGTTTCACATCCGTATCAATAATCTTGGTGGTAATGTGACTTATTTCAATCTTGGTGGTGATGTGACTTATTTCCCTTCTCATGCTGTATTTCATACGCCTAGCAGTGGACATAAATATGTATTGATATCCTTTTATCTCCCTGTCAAACCATATGACAGAGATCTAATAAATAGAAAAGGCTCTGCTTTTCTCTGGAGATCCTCCGTATTTTCTGCCCACGTTGCTGTGGCCTGTCTCCCCCGCTGTGCGCCACCGGTCAATATTTCCGGGACGAGGACTGGTGCCTGTTATTATTTCTCCAGCACGGTGCTGTTCGTTACACTGCAGTCCTTTGGCTCACTAAAGGCAGAGAAATGCCTTCCGCGGAGCAGCACTAGCAACTGTCCACGGACCTCTCTGCTGCCTAGCAGCCAGGCGAAGAAAAAAAAAATAGAAAATTCAGATAAAAGTCACCAGTAACTGGAGACAGGTACTAAGATATAGACCTCCTCCTCTCGCATTCAGCCTTAGAGTCCTGTACAGGCATAGTTTTTTAAGACAATTAATAAGGGACAATGGGCAGATGGAAAGTAATTGGGAAGAGACAACGGGATCAGAGCAGCTCTACTACCGAGGTGCAGTGAGTATCTTCTCCCCAGGATTTGCTTTGTATTGCACCGCATCTCCAGGCCCGCTGGGCTCCAGGGCCACAAGCCACGTGGTCCCCGGGGACCTCCCTGCAGCCCAAGGAGGCAGTTGTGGGTGGCGGAGGTGCAGCGTTGGCCCCGGTGGGCGCCAGCGCAAGCATCCCCGCTCCAATATCAGCGCTCGGGGCATTAACAGCACGGAGCGATGCGCGTACCTACAGATGGCGGTCCCAGCGAGGGCGTTCACCAGCCTCCGCAGGAATTCACCGAAAGCACGGGAGGGGGAAGTAAGGGCTCAACTACAGATTTCACATGACCTCAATCAAAGTTTGCAATTTTATCACATTCTTCTCTAATCTTGCTTCTCTCTTCCCATGTGACCGTGTTTCAAAGCTAGAAGACTTCACTCTTTGACCCACTTAGGAGTGAAAAAGCCAAGGACGATCTGAGCAAAGCTGAGAAGTTTCGTTCCAAGCTGTAAACAATTGTTCGCGTTTTTGTCGCTCGTTTAATCTGCGCGCAGCAGCGGCGAGGAACGCGTCCCTGGTGCTGCAGCTAGCCCAGGGCCCTCCTTGGCCACGGGTGAGCCTCCTCCTCCGAAGGGCTGGGCAGTGCCGCTCGCTTGGAGCTGGCTCCCACTGAGAGGCAGCTTCATCAGCAAAAGCAACGGGCACAGGATCACGGAAACATCCCAGACATCCATGAGAGGAAACCATTTCATGGAAGATGACATCTAACCTGCAGCCCTACCTCTGGCATCAGCGCTGGAGGTGTGAATGCACTGGTACCCTCTCCCAGCTTGGTCACACGTGCCACTGGGTGACACCAACACACATCAGCTGAGCATCAGGCCCCCGAAATACAGAGGTGCCCCTCTGCACTGAGCTTTTTGGCAGCTGAATGTTTTGCAAATCATTAGGAAGCCCATCAGCCACAATTCTAAGCACATCTGTATTCCTCAGGCTTTTAACACCCTGGCGGCGTGTCAGACAATGCTCGGGCTCATCGCAGACCCACCTGATCCTTCCATCTGCTTTTCTTCGTGCCGCGAATCCTCACTGGGCCCTTTCTCCGTACCTGCCGGGGAAGAGGAGGGTTGGCAGCACCCGCAGCAGAGTGTGTCAGAGCCAGCAAAACACCTCCTGGCATGTGTGGGTACGTGCTCGAGCAGGGAGGGAAGGGGAAGGTGCCACCACGGCGCTTCCCGGCACAGGCAAGTTCGGGGACAGTGTTTGCCTGTTGACAATACAAAGCTGGAAGACCCAGGACGTGCTCTTGGAAACGCTTTTGCTTGATCTCCAGCAAGCACCTTGTCAACCAGGTGCACAAAAGTAGGACTAGATGTGAAAGTCAACGTTTTTGGGAAAAGCTCATGAATCTACTTCCCCACAGACCATCTTGCATCCCATCCCTTCACCAGCCTCTCCTCATCACCCAGCAATCACCCAACTCTCCCCCTTCCCCTTGTTAAACTCTCAACATCCATCGCCCAAATGCAGGCTAGGGCTCTCGCAATGCTGTGCTTGCTCCCCTTGAGGATCCTCTGCCCAGTAGCACGTGGCATTGCAATTGCTATGATCTGCACTGTGGCAGCACCTAGGTTGCAGAGTAGTAGCCCCGTGTGCTAGGAGCAGCATAAACATAATAAAATATAGTCTATGTCTACATGATCTGCCTCATGTGAGAGCCAGCCATAGCACGCCAGGAGAAGCACGCAGGCGAGGACTGGCTGTACCACAAACAGCGGCACAAAACACCTTACTGGGGAGAAAAACATTTTTCTGACAGGTTTTTTTGTGCAGACTCTCAGACTGCTTTTCCTTTTGTGCCTCGTTAAGAAAGCTCCAGAGTGACAAGGATAACTGTTTGGCCAGGATTTTAGTTGAAATATGGCAATTGGATCTGGCGGTGCCTCCCCTGTGCCAAGGGTTAGCCCCCTCCTCCAGCGGAGCACGGACAAGGGAGACGAGCGGTTTTTCCGTGTTGGAGGGGGCAGGGTAGCGGGGGGGGGCAGCAAGCCCCTTCCGGCGGAGGGGTAAGCCAAGAGCGGCAGGGCCGTAACCGGGAACGGAAGAGTCACCAGACTTGGGCTATCGGCGTTTCCGGTTTGAACGCGGGCGTTCACCCTTACGTGATAAAAGCTTAGCGAAGGCGGAGATGTCAGAGCACTTACTGGGATCACAACTCAAGAACAGGGCTCCTGACTCAGAAATTGTGGCTTATAACAGATACTCTGCTGCCTAACACATGCACGAATGCCAGGGCCTCTGCACAGTCTCCTGGATGCCTTAATTTTTATTACCTGTTACTGTTTCTAGGACGTAGTTCGACTCCTCTGAAGCCATGTGTGTGGTTGCCGGGTCATGCATTTCTTCTGAACCGGGCGATCGGTCTGTGGACAAAGCACCAAAGGTAGTTTGTGCTTTGCTGACGGGGGCAGCACCCCTCAAAACCCTTCTCGGGAGAGCCGGTCCATCAGCAAGGAGCAGGTGAGCACCACCCCACTGGCACGCTCGCCCGCGTGGTGCTTGGGTGAGGATCGCCGGGCAGTGTGGCAGGCACGGGAACACCAGACGCTGGTCCATGGGCCGAATCCCTGGCTAGCAAATCTGCCCGCTTCCTCTCAAATGCCTACGAGGCAACGCCAGGAGCTCTTCCTAAAACACATCCAAACTCCCAGACTGAGGGAAAAGAGCATCATCTGCAAAAGTTTGTTCCTAAACTCCACAGAAGGTGAAGAGCAAAAACAGTTCAAAATGACTTAATTGGCTTAATTCCATCTAGCTACTCAATTCTGGCTTAAAAAGTGAATGCTACTTGACTTAACTACTCCACCTGGGGAAGACCACCCTACTAATTTGCTGCCTTCCTCCACAAAGTAACACCTCCTCAAATTTCTCTTACGTTTCTACGTATGCCCTCTTAATTTAAACCTGTGTCCCCTAATGCTGGACTCTCCAGTGCCCTCAAAGAGATATCCAAATTTAGTTTTAAATAAACCTTTAGCTAGTTTAAATACTTCAATCAGGTCACTATTTAATCACCTTCTTGCAGGATAAATAATCCAAATTTCATCAATTTCTCCTTGTACATGAGTACCTCTTCTCTATTAATCATCTTCAAGGCCCTAAGCTGTACTCACTCTGATTTAACTATATCTATCTTCACATAAGGTAATAAAAAGTGGATTCTGGGCTTCAAGTGCAATCTAACTAGCCCCAGAGAAGTGATAACGCCTCTTCCTTACACGTCCTGCCAGCTCACCACGTATTAACTTTCCTTTCTCCCATGATCCGCCAAGTTGAAAATTAAAACGTTTGATCTAACAATATGCCTAGCTCCTTCTCCCTCCTCTGTATTAACTATATGTTAAATCCATTCCAGTATAATTCCAGTGTGACTCCCTAAATATCGTCATATTAACTTCAGAGCAATGGGGAGTGGTGCAATTTGGCTGCAGTTCAGACCTGCACAGGCTCTGGTCAGGCTGGGTATCATTTCTACCCTGAGCATCATTGGGCACTCAAACACATCCAGAGTCATGTTCCCACTCGAATTCTAGTGAGATTATTAATTAACGTTTGTAAAGCACACTGAAAATGCAAAGTGCTAACTAACCACTCGATAAGTCCTTACAGTCATCCTATCATTTGGTACGCTATCCAGCTCAGGTAACAGCTCTAGAAGCAGCAGCCCAAAGGTGGTTATGTCTTAGGAAAACTAATCTCTCGGCTGGCCTGCGGGAACTTGTTTCCATGCTCCGTTATGCCCTACCGCCATGGATCACTCGCAGAAAGGAACTTGGGGAAATGCCTCAGTCTCACCAATTCTAATAAATTTTCAGCACATGCTTAAAATTAAATCTCTTTTTACGAACTCTTTTTTACAAACAGACTGTTTTTTCTAAATTAGGGACCTCATCAAAATACCGCACACTTGCTGTCTGAGATCTTCCAAACCCATACACCAAGGAAAGCAACTAACCACGCTCGCTGTCTCTAGCTCCCAGCCGGGGGGAAAGACAACATTAAACACAACCAAGGACAGGAAAAGAGCAAGTCACAGCCGAGAGAGAATAAAACAACAGCCCTGAGACATCCTTCATTATCCCAAGAAACCAGCTCACTTCTGATAGGCTTCTTAAATTCACTGTCAGAGTAGAAAGGCCAGCGCACACGTATGGGAGGATCCTTAGCACCGGGAGAAATCCTGCAAACGTGCCTTTTCATCGTCCAGGCACCACGACACACAAGGCCGGGCATCCTCTGCGCGGAGACTGTTCAAGTGCCAGACGAGCGCAACACCTACCTGGAACAGTGATTTGAATGATGTCTAACTCATCCGGCTCTATTTTGATCTGTCTGATCCCACTCAGTTCTCCGGAGGTACCTAGCGGGGGAAGAAAAGGGGAGCTAATCACAGACGTGAACCGGAGCCGCAACGCCTGCCCGCGAACCCTCGCAGCGCGCGGGCAGGGAGAGCCGCCTGCGGCTGCAGTTCCCGACAGCGGCCCGTAGTAGCGCAGAGCGTTGCTGATCTCAGGCCGGTTGGCAGCGGGCGGACGGCGGGCCAGCCCGTGCCGGGCGCCCGACGGCGAGCCGGGCCGGCAGCCTGGCGCTGCGTGTCAAAGGCATATTAAGCCCGGTGATAAGGTGAGCTGTCACTTATCTCAAGGTAAATTTTCTCCACTTAGGGTGGGACTAATTCACGCCAAGGGGCTGAATCACAGCTCGCAGCTTTTATGCTCGGCTTGCCCGTCGGTCTACCTATTCAGGCATCCGCGCAGCATTTAAACCAGCGTCATTTCTTAGGCCCCGATCCCAGAGCGAATTAGTCAGCTGTGCGACAGTCTTACCCTCAGGGAAAACACGTTAATTTGAACCTCAGGGCATTTACTGCTAATTCGCAGTGGTCAGAGCATTCACACAGTCGATTTCTGCACGTCAGCTGCTGTGCGGTAATGCAATCATGTGTCCGCTTTTAGGTAGAAGGGAACTTTACAGATTAAAGACTTCATTCAGCATCACATTTAAGCACATGCTTAAGCCCCTCGTCTCATTCTTTTCAATTTATGCATTTTTTGGACCCAACTGGAGAGTCATATGATAAGATCCTTTATCTCTGTATCTATCAGACAAGGATAAAATACTGAAAACTGCCCATGCGGATACCATATAACTAACGTCACACTTCAAAGTTACATTTATAGGCCATTTCCTCTTACGGCTCTAAATTTATTCTGGCTGCCAATATAACCAAGCTATCAGACCACCCAGACACGGAGAAGGTTTAGCCTGCTTCCCCAGGCTTTCACCCACTTTCATTTTGCTGCATTAGCAGGTGAGTGATCGCTTAGTTACCGACCTTTGCATTTGTTTTGTTAAGATTTTTTTAAAATGGTATCTTCCCGCATAGCGGACCATCAGATGACCACATGTGAAAGGGATCAAGCGCGTGCTTCAGCTCGCTGCGTGCGTGCCCCCCTGTCCGTTTTTGGGTGCATTTGCACACGGCCGCACATCGCGCTCTTCTTAGGCTCAGCAGCAGCTCGGCAGCAGGGATAACCCGCCGCACACGCGTACCGTCCTCCCAAGGACAGGGCTATCTCTAGAAGGCGCTCGATAAACCACGCGCCGCCTCCCAGCCCGGCGCGAACGTCGGCTGCGTTTGGAAAGGCTCCGGCACGACAGGGAGGCCGGGCGCCCGGCAAACGCGCTTCCCGCGACATGCCGCTACCGTCGCGTTTGTCCGCTGAGCTGATTTATCTGAGGGTTTATCCGCTCGCAGGGGATCTGATATTCACAGGGAAGGGACAAAAGCCTCCCCTACGCCGCATTACTGCGTTCCAACAGAAAAGGAGTAATTCTTTGCTCACCTGGTTCACAGCTTTCCGAAACGCTACACTTCTCAGCCCTGCAAGGGAAAGGCAGACAAGAGACAGGGTAATGGAGCGATTAAACGAAGCTTACAGCCGCCATGCCCGTGCGTAAGCGCTGCCGGCTGAACCCGGAGGCGCGCGGCGGAGGTCTGCGCGAGCGCTGCCACCGCAGCGCCGCTGGCCGAGGCCCCGCTTCCCAACGGGCCCGCCTGGGAAACCTGGGCTGGGGTGGCTTTACGAGTGTGGAAAGCGCAGAGGCAATGTTTGGAAACTCTCTCAAGGTAGGTAGGTCGTAAACTGAGCTCGGTTTTCTCCCGTAATGTGTTAATTTATGCTGGAGCCCCCGGAAGGACTGGGCTATCTCCATTCCCCATGACTAAAATGTTGTAGGCACTCAGGTCCTGTCCGAGAGATAACCTTCCAGCCCTTGCCTGCTCCCAGCTCTTCCCTCAGTCACGCATCTACGCTAATCACAGCCAGACCCCTAGAGACCAATGGATATAACCTCAGCAAAAGGCTCCTGGAAAGCAAGAGGAGTTTTAGCAACAGCCCGAAACCCTGCTGACTCCATCACTTTGTGGTGGGGAGAAGTGCATAAAGTATCATTACAATGTGGTTACTCATGCAGCTAAAGCAAATATGGAGAAAGGAAAAAAGTCAATTGATTTGGTAAATATTTATTCTACCCAAAGCTTTTCTCCCCTGAATACTGGGCACCATCCCAAACTTGTGTCTGCAGTTAACTTAGCCTGCTTAGAAATTTATACAAGGTATTCAGCATCTAAATTAGATTACTTTGCATGCTCGGGACTGATTTTCTCTCTCTCTCTTTCTTCTTAAATAAGAACTATGGCACTTTGGCAATATAGGAACCAAGGAATGGCACTGGGAAACGCAGTCCGCCATGATGCTGGTCCTTCACGGGCAAGGAAAAAACATCTGCGTAGCTCAACATCTACGTTTGTTCAGGGGGATTTTCAAAGCCCTCCTCGCTTGCGTAAACCCACTCTCAACAGCAGAACGAACTACTGACAAAGTTAAATTAACGTGAAGTGCTCTTGAAATTTTCTTCCTATATAAGGACTATAAGGACAGAGCTTTATATGGGTAGAAAGGAACTCTAGTCTAACAAACGCTACATATATATAAAATAGGAGCTATGGGAAAGGTTTTCAACTCTCATACTCCAGGTCAAAGTCAACCTTTTGCTACAGAGATTTGGGAGTAGATCATCCCTGAGGAACAGATTACCCCTCCGCGAAATCTAGCACCTTTCCCTTGAGTATTTGGTCCTGCCCTTTCTCTGAAAGTGGACTCTGAACTGGGTGGACCACTGGTAGGGAAACTGGTGTGTTCCTATCAGGGAACAGAAGTTTCCTCGTTTACAGGAAAAACAAAATGGGATTTGAATATCTTTCAAGTATATGTATTTTTTCATGCAGATATGCGTTATCAATACATTTGGAGGTTTAACTTGCACATGAAAAAAGAGCAGAGCAAGTTTTGCATCACGTCCGCACTTCATAATTCCCTTTGGGGCACGCTAAAATTTAACCGTGGTGCACACAAAATTCAGGGTACGCAGCGTGATTCTGGCACACAGCGTAAGCCAGGACCAATGTAAGTCAACTAATAGAAATTCAAAAGTGACCCCAGTAACTTCTCGGTATCTTAAATCCTGGTAGGTTGCACCTGGATTTGCCCAAAGAGAAGGAGGGGACAGTCCAACGGGACCCATGTCACAGCAGCATCTCGGGACACGACATCGGACTCAGGCTTGGCATAAACCACCCCCACAAAATGTATTTTTCCTCCGTGGGATCTTCTAAGCCTGTCTTACTGTTTCACGCTACCCTGAATCGGCTCTGGCAGGGCCGAGACGGGGACCGCGCCGCACCGGCGGGCGCTGTCCCTGGACCGCGAGCCTCCCGCTGCCCTCGGTGCTCAAGGCAGCACATCTCAGGCCGGGCACCAGCTCTGATGCTGCCGGCCCGCGCCCGCAGGTTTTCTCTCTATTGCTCTGCACAAGTTAACCCGGCATCCCTCATATCCTAGCTCTCTGCCTGCTCGTTTTCAGTCGCATCAATTTAAATGCATGGTGGTATTTTCTGTAGCAAAAATTAAAACGCGCTAATTGCAAATGTTAACAAATAAAACGAGAACCAACAGGCCAGACTTAGGACCTGTGGCATGCTTCGAGGCCAGCAGTGTTTGAGGCTTTATGTTTTCCCCTGGCATCAGTAGCGCAGTGGATGCTCTGCTCCGCTGCAAGTCAAAACACTTCTGGACACTAAGCAACATGGCAAAGTGTGGGGAGAAACCCAGAGCGGGCTGAGAGACCGTTTCATGGATAAGCCCTAGCTCAGGTTTCTGGAGATCTGGGTTCGGTTCCCACTCTGCCACCGGCTCCCGTAACTTCAGCCAGGTAATTCAGGCCTGGCTTCGCTCCAGCCAAGTTTCAGTCTCTGCAACGCAGATGTGTCCAGCTGAGGCTGCCAGCTGGGCTCCCACTGTCATCAGTGGAGATGAACAGGCACTTCTGGGGGACAACTCTGCTATCCAGACCTCAACACCTACCTGGGAGATGACTCCCCCTTGGGGGGCTCAGCTCTCTCCACTGATGATAAAAGGAGACTCAGTGACTCACCCAGACCCACTTCAGCACAGATACCTCCACAGAGCTGCAACGAGTCTCCCTTCATGTGCCCCTCAGCCTGAATCCTTGTGTACGGGGCATCACCTCCTCTGGCAAGGCTCAAAGCCAGGGTGGCTCGTCCCAGCTGCCAAGGTGCAGCTACTTGGATCAGACTCCACGCTTTAACAGTGCAATAAAGCAGCATCAATGTCCACAAAGTACAGGGAGAGTGTCACCGCGGCACGACAGGGGGCATGAGTGACACCCGCCATGGTGTCACCGGCACCTCCGTCCCTGCCAACAGTGTGCAGAGCAGGGCACGGAGGCCCAGGAGAGCACGAGAAGAATTTGGCTTGTTTCACTTGGGAAAATAAAGCCAGGAGGAGACATGGTTGGTGTCCCTCAGCAGCAGAGTAGCAAAGTTGGGAAGAGCCATCACACCAGTGGTGAAAAATACCCATGCAGGATGGATATGAGCTCCAGCAGCAAGGTAGGGGCTTCACAATGCAAGAGGTCCTGGCCATCCCAGCTGCCTTCCTACGGGGCAGCAGAAGTCCGAACATGGGGTGAAGTCAGCACTTGAAACACCCAAACTCTTGAAGAAGGCCTGTGGTGTCCCCTCCTGCTCCTTGTAAGCTGCCACCTGTGACCACACAACACTATGTAGATGCTGGATGTCAACCAAGGTCTTGTTCCCCAAATGACAGCAAAGAGACGGACAGCCTGCCGAGGCTCAGGAGAGCTGCAGCTCCGTGTCCTTGCTCTTGGGACCCATCCGTGTTCCACAAGAGCAGCCACTGGAGGGCGATCCCTTCCACCCCAGCACGTAAAATGGCTGGGCAAGGGCCACCCAGCTCTGCCAGTGCTGCAGCGCCTCCTGGCCAGCACAATACTGTCAGACAAATCTGCTCCTCAACCTCCAGCGCCACAACATGTGGCGAGATTTCAGCGCCCAGCATGTGACAGCAACCCCTGACAAACAGACACTGACTGAGTGGCAGACATCAGGCTCACGCCATCAGCGCGTTTGCTTGCTTGCTCTTAGGTCCTTGCTCAAACGCTGCCTTCTCCGACACACCAGGTTTACCCGCCTCGGGCAAGCATGGCACTAGGTGCACGTGGTAACCACATCCAAGGAATCATACCTGAAACACAACCGGGGAATCCCACATACCAAAGCGCACATACATCTGTCAAGGATTAATTTCAATTAAGAACGAAGGAGAGAGGGGAATCAAACACACGCCATGGAAAAAACTGAGGCAAGTTAAGACATCTCCCCTACCTGGCTTGCAGAAGTTACTGACCCAATAGTAGTCAGTCTAGCAGCTCTGGCCAAAACAGCTGATGAAGGTGTCAATGCTGTGCTGCGAGATTTTGCACTGGAGAGGCTGAGGAGCGCTCCTACAACCTGTTTCATCCC